GGAAGGAGTTAAAATCTAATTAAATGTTTTTAAGTTCGGCGTTTCTTTCGGGGAAAAGTAAAATTCGCTTGTTTCTCTGATCCTAATTAGTAGTGTTAGTTTCTCTTTCTCACGGCTTTGTCCTCAGCGGCTCCACCCTTTGTAGTAGCATCTTTGTTTTACCGAGGCATCATTTTCTCACAGCACAGGAGCCTCTGGTCGTGTGTCACCGCCACACTGGACATGATCAGGTGATCTTTCTTTGTGGGAAACAGTTTCCTGAGATGGTTTTAAAACCGTTGGCACTATGCAGGAAAGCAGAGAAGTTGCTAGAGATCCTGCCTGGCACTCCTCAGTTGAGGCATTGCTGTCTTATCCTTAAGTGATGATATGTCTCTGAGTCTAGTCTCTGTGCAAATAGACACAGTCATGTGGATTGTGAGTCTTTAGATATTTGGCTTAAAAATGTCAATGAGGTTGTAAAAAACCTGAATTTTCCTTACCCAGAATATTGCACCATACTTAGAGTGAGTGAAATTACATATATCACAGCAGTTCATACATGCAGCTTACTGGTCTAACAAAACCTTGCATTGATTCAAGCTTCTGTGTTTTGTGCTATCAAATATATGAATGTTGGTTCCCCAAGTACGGAGTGGTATTTAATTAGAGAGATGATACTTAACTCTTTAATCTCCTCCTATACAAGTTCTATGAAAAGAACCTAGTATTGGTAAACTTACATGACTTAAGCTTCCAGGCTGATAAGCACATAAATAAGCAACTAGAACACTGATAACATCCTGCTAATGAAGTACTACAAGTGTTCATTTTGCTTTAATTAACATTATGAGCAGTTAAGGATAAGCCAGTTAGGCTTTAATTACTAGCTGAATATAGTTAATACTAAAAATTTTAATTATTGTCAAACACTAGCCACAATATAACCATAGGTTTTAATTTAAATACTTGACTTAATATATACTGCATTTTCAAGTGCATAAACAGCCTTTCTGGTAACTGGCTGGTGTTTGTAGTGCACAAAGAATCTCTGTGTACTTGCTCTTGGCTTTGAGTGCTTGCCGTTGTACAGAGAAGTTCAGCTAGTGGTCTTTTAGGTAAAATGATTTACACGAGCATGTAGTCTTGATTAAATAAAATTTACTGTGGGAAACTAGCCTCATCCCTTCCTTTAAATTGCCCAACGATAGTTCTCGTAGGAGAAGTCTGTCTGCGCTGGTCTCCAAGGATGTGTCACCATTTGTGGTGCTGGAAGAGCAACAGGCCGTGAGGATGAGGTAGCAGGGGAACCAGATGTAGTGGAGTTTGTGCTGGTGCAGACAGTGCCACTCCTGGCAAAACTACTCCTCTTTGGTCTGGGAAGATGTTGCTGTGGGCATCGCTTCAGCTGTGTAGCTTCTCTGCAAGGCCGTGTGTTGTGCCACGCGGAGCTGCTCTTGGTGACCAGCCTTGGCATCTGGCATGTACTTCTGTTTCTTCTTGATTTTTGATGTGGTGTTACTGCTGGTTGTAGCTCTGCCCTATGGTGAGTTGGTTAGGCACTGTTTTGGTTTAGTGCTTTTAAGAGCAAAGATGAGCCTGTCAGAGGTGGGGGGTGGGATGTGATGGGAAAGAAGGCCTGTCATCTCACCAGTGGTTTTCTGAGTTGGTCAGGCAGTGTTGTTTTCACTCTGCTGAGTGTGGTGCCTACTGTGTTATTCTCAGAAATAGCTCACCTTCTGTTGTGCTCACTTAATATTCTCTGTCAAGGCATATGTCTTGACTGAGTCAATTTCTTAAAGCTTATGAGTAGGGATGATGTAGCTAAAATCTGACTAGGCCCAGTGGGAGGCTTAGTGTTTTTGCAAATACTTAATTCAGTATATAATCATTAGTCATTACCCCAGCAAGAAGATTATATTTGATATTAAAAACTTGTTCTGTGTGCATCAGGGGCAGTAACACTTGACTTCCAGTGGTTTTATGGGGCTTTCTCTCTCCCCTCTCCTGCAGTATGCAGCTTGTTATTTGTTCCTCCTGCAATTTCCACTGCCTTAGAGAATGAAGTGGCTGGTTTAGCAGGTAGGAGTTAACTTGTCTGCCCAGCTGGCTGCTCCCAGAATAAGTGGGAGAAAAGTTTTCTTATTTTGCCTCAGTGAACAGCACTAAGCTGCTTATTTTTCTCAAAAATGTGCAAGGATGAGAGTTGGTTGGTAGATCCAAAAGTTACTGGATGGCAATAGGTTTACGCAGTTGTCCAAGCTTCCTTAAGGAAGCAAACTCATAACTAATTACAGAGTAACTCTGCATCTCTGACTGAGGTGAGCTTCACCTGGGGAGTTAATATTAGGCTTTGGTCTGTGTAGTAGTATCTTACTGCTTGTATTATAGTTTTTTGTAGGAGGCATGCTCTGAATGTAGGAAGGAAGTGGCACACTGTCCTTGCCTCATGTTCTGATAAACTCAGTTCCATAGGCTGAATCTTCTTTGTCTCTGTTCTTTTTGAAGTCTGTTACTTGTTAAAAGTCATGTTGTCAATAATACAATAATAGTATTTTATTGGAATGGAATGTAAAAGAAAGAGATACTTGGACTGTAATGTGATTCCTTATAGAAGTGCCCAGCTTATGTGAGTAGTATCAGTTGTCAGGAGGTCTCTTTTTTTCAAGATGTGCATGAGCACAGCCTGCAAGGATGAGCTGTTCAGAGGCAAAATGTTTTAAAAACTGGTGTTGGAGCTCAGACACTTAAATGAGGTGTCTTGCTTCCTTTTAGGCACATTGTTTCCCAGTGAGGGGCAGACAGTCATCTTTATTTCAGCCTCTGCTGTCCTTAGAAACATGAATTCCTCTGTGTTCCCTTTGACACGCTCAAGAGGTATTTAATAAACAATTTAACACTGGGATTCGCCAGAGAAGTGACTTTTAAATGCCAGACGGTCCTTGCACCAAATTTTCTGCAGCAAATGAGCCTAGACTTATATTCTGTTCTGCCAAATTAAACTTTTTTTTTTTCACCAATATCTGTTAAAATCATCTGGTCCAGGCTTTAGCGGGAAAAGGAGCCTGGGTGAGATAGTCTAGCACCCTGTTCGGTTGCATCTTGGAAACCTCCAGTGCTGAGGACTCTACCAGGTCCCTGGGGAGGTTGTTGCAGTGAATGTTCTCACTGTAAAGAAGTTTCTTTTTTTTGTATAAAGATGAAACTACTCCTGGAATCAACACCTTCATACTCAGTACTAAAGTGATACTGAGTGGAGGAGGAGGTAATAAAGAGCAATATAGTGTCTTTTACATACTGAAACAGTTATAATGAGAAAGTACCTAGCTTTACTTTTCTAGCAAGATAAACTTAATAGTGAATCTCACTAGTTTAAAAGTTATTCTGTAGTGTAGTGGAGTGAAAATTTATGGCTTCTCCATCCTCAGGAACACACATACAGAAAGAACACAAGGAGATGATTTAGAAGACCGAGTTTGTGAATTGAGCATGTGGATCTGGTTGAACCTGCAAGAACAGATAATCTGAGCCTTTTCCTGCGGGCTTCTTGGGAGGTTGCCGAGAGTGTGGTGGCAGTCTGTCTCCGCGTCCAGCAAGTGTTGTGGCAGTTTGTCTGCTCTTGACTGCAAGCCCTGGGACCTTCCGGGTAGAGGCAGGCTGCTGGCATTTTTGTTTGTCATATGACTAAACTTTTAAGAACTCTTTCTGACACATGCTAGTCATAGTGGATGATTGACACATGCTGGCTGTGTAACTGGTCACGTTCCTGCGTGACTGTGCCTTTGACACGGTGATCAACACCTGGGGCCTTTGTCACATGGCAAAGGTGTGCCTGCTTGTCTGCTGGGACTGAAGCTGGGTTTTACACCACTGCTCTGCATCTCTCTCAGAGGTTGCACGATCTGTTGTATCTCAGACATGGCAGCGCTCTTCTGGTAACTTTACCTTAATTGAAAAATATATATGTGGCCTCCAAAACTTAGGTGTTAACTACTCACTGGGATTTCTCATGTCTTCTAGGAAAAATAATTTGTATGTAAATTAAAACAAAGCATTTTGATTGTGCCTTTCCACTTTTGGCTTATGTTTACTTGTGAAAACTTGTCCTTAGTTTGCCTCCTGAATTGTCATTTGTCAAGTGGCAGAAAATTGTGAAGGAGTGAAGTCCTGCTGTCCCCTCCCCCCTGCCCCTCGTTCCCCCCCACCCCCACTGAAACAGCACTCTTTGCTCCCTTTTCTTCTTCCCACAATTTTCTGTTTAGGAGTTAAGTGCAGGTAAACTTTGTCCTGTGTTTTTCCCCTCATAGTATTACAACTGTACAGCATTCCTATCCACTTCTGCTGTTGATATTTGGTAGCACTCATAATACGTGTGCTGTGTGTGTTTGCTTTATTCTTATGATTTGTAACTTTTACATTGCGTGAGTTGATTTTGCCAGCTAATAGAATTATATGATCTGTGAGTAGCTGCTAAATATGCAATAATTTGCAACCCAAGCTTTAGGCTATTTTACCTATTGTTTGTGCTTCTGTAATGTTTATGACCCCAGTGAGTATTGTGGCTCAACTCTGCCAGATGCTGAAGGTGTACCTAGATAGCAGTTGTGCTCAGATTGTCGGTTGTTGTTGTTGTGTTCTTTTCCTGTGTTTTTATTTAATCTCTGCAGCTGTGGAAGGGAGGATGTAGCTGTTATCTAAAAGCAATCCTTGCATTCATTTAGCTGAAATGAAATAAATTAAGAGAACAAATGAGCCTGAATGCAGTCTTTATTTCCTCTCAATGTATAAATGATTACTTTTGACATAGCGCTAATTTTGCTGTGCAGTGGTACATTAGGAAGTGCTGCTAAGATTATTGAGGATGCTCTGTAACATGTTTTAGCGACTTAAGTCTACACAAGTGATGCAATTCATAGGACGAGTTGTTTTCCATCGTAATTTCTGTTGATCTATACAGCCTGATTAAATACTGAAATGTAGCAATGCAAAGCTTATAAAATAATTTCTTTTATGTTCTTTCTCTCTGTCAGATACCGTGCTTATGTGGAAGTGCCCCATGCCTGCTCTGCCGATGCTGCCCCAGTGGAAACAACTCCACTATAACTCGACTGATTTATGCATTCTTTTTACTTCTTGGAGTGTGTGTTGCCTGCGTGATGTTAATACCAGGCATGGAAGAGCAGCTGAAGAAGGTCAGGTTACTTCTTTGTTAACATGCTTGATAGAATAAATATCACAGATCATTGTAAACAACATCTTGAGTACATGGATTTTATTTGGAATTATGTAATTGTGCTGCTGCCTGTGCTTCAGAGGCACTACTAATTTGATTGTAGATCAAATAAACAAAGAACTTGTGGCACAATCACTGCATAGATGAAAAGCGCATTTTAGAAATAGCCTCACCTCTTCTTTAATAGCCCAGAGCAGAAAAAAAATCTGGTATCAAACAAGAAAATAAAATGTATGTATCTATATGGAGTTTTAATTATAGGTTATTGAGATACTTGTATTTGTGGCACTTGATTGATTTTGATTGCTGTTAATAAAACAAAAATAACCACATTCTAAGATTTCTTGTAGTTTCATTGTGCTGTACTAGCTAAAATTCTATTTTGAAGTCTGTAACAAAAATATTTTCACTATTGATGGCAATTTTCACTAAGGATATTAAGAAGTGCTTATATGATTTTTACAGTTCATTAGTTATGTGAAGATACGATAATGCATGTAAAATTAGAGACTAGGAATTTCAGTACAGGAGAGCTTATAGATTCAGAGCTTATAGATTCAGAGCTTATAGATTCAGAGCTTATAGATTCAGAGCTTATAGATTCAGAGAACTCTGGTTGCTTATGCTTTGATTCTGTAAGTTTTTTTTTCTGTCTTTAATGTTTACAGGTAGAGAGTAACTTCTGTTAGGCATACTTTTCATTTTCTTTCCCCTAAATGATTATAAGCGTTTATTTTAGTGTAAAATAAACCACATTAGAGCTTCAGTGAGAGCAGTGTTAGACACCCAGGAAAGGAAATTACAGCCTTCTGGCCTATGATTTGATTTCAAAAAGGTGTTGTCCATGTCCTGGTAGTGACTGGGAAGGATATTCTCAGCTGCTTTGTATGGAAGTTACAGATAGATTTGATTGTGGTGGTGTTTTTATTGGAGGAGGAGGCTGCTTCTGTTTTAAAGAAGTGGAAGCAGGCTGCCTTCTGCTAGCTATGTTATGAACTTGATAGTAAAGGTTAAGTTAAATTTACCACATCCTAGAAGTTTCATTTACCTCATGGTTCAGGTCAATGAGTGAAAATTCCATATCTTTGGGAAGTTAATAGTTTGAAATTGCTAGTAACAACAAAAAAGAAGAGTACACTGTTAATAAGATTTATTTTTTGTTTTATTTTAAAATTTTCCTCTGTGAGATTTTTTTTTTTGCCTTTACTGTGCTTTATATTCTGGTTAGACTGTGACTAACAATACAGACTTTCAATATCGTATTTTCTATCAATGCAAATCGTTGCATGATACTACAATACCAACAAGTTGCATATTAATAAATTGTTATTACATATTGGCTCAAGGAGGCCTGGTCCAGATGACAGAAATTTCTTGTGTTTATCACAGATTCCTGGATTTTGTGATGGAGGGATGGGAACAACTATTCCTGGTGTGCACGGTCACGTGAATTGCGACGTACTCGTTGGTTACAAAGCCGTGTACCGCGTGTGCTTTGGCATGGCCATGTTCTTCCTTCTCTTCTCCTTGTTGATGATCAAAGTGAAGAGCAGCAATGACCCGAGAGCAGCGGTGCACAACGGGTGAGACACGGAGATCGGAACTGCCGTGGGAGGGGGTGTGAACAGGAGATCGAGCTGCTGTGAAAATAAAGCCTGTGGCTGAGCATGCTGGTCACGTTTACTGTGCTTGCAAACAAAGAATGTCAGGGTGGCTGGAGGGGTGGTGTTGCAGAATAAGGGCATTCAAAGTTGTTGGAGTTCTTAAGCACTGCAGAGTAATTTTTGCAAGAGGAAAAGATACACATGGCTGTCGCTTCTCGGAGCCTGAACCATGACAGTGGATAATCTGTCCAGAGGTTTCCCAAGATTAGAGATTCTGCTTTTGTCCAAAGATGATAAAATTCAGAGATAAGTAATGGCACTAAGTTTCATGCCACTGAGATTTTTTTTCAGCAAATAGATTAAAAAGCCTGATCTGTCCTCTAGGAGTTACATTCCTCTTAACTTTGATGTTTCTAAGAGCTTGCTCCTTTATTATAAGGATTGTAACAGTTACGTATCTCTTTCTATAGATACATAACATCTCTTTTTCCTCCTCTGCTATCTTTTCTTCAGTCTCCCCTCTGCATAAAGAAGAGTTATGTATTAGGTTCTGAGCTCCCCAGCAAGTTTCTTTTGTTATTTCGTTGTAGTTAGGATTATCAGGCAGAAGATAATAGTGGAATTTCATCCTGCAGGTTGATACAGAGTGGTAGTTTTCATCTTGAGTTCAGACTATGTGCAATGTAGCTTCTTGAAACAAGGAGATATAAATATTTGTAGCAGGGCATAGCACTAAAATGCATAAACATTTATGGTGCCTGGCCTTAGTGAATACAGTGTTTGCTTAGACTACGGCTTTGTCAAGATGATTATGTTTAATGGAAGCTATGTTCAGTGAGGCCATAAAAATGAAGAAGTTATTTTATATTCAATATAATAAGATTAAAAATTTCTAGCATAAAATGAGATAATTGAGATTATTAAGACAAGCAGAATATCACTTTTGTTTATTTCTTTTGATTTTTTCAGTCTAAAGAAAAAGATGCCAGGTACAGTATTAAGATGCATTAGTAGTAGCAGTTTGGGATTTTTTTGATACCTGTATCTGGAGTTGTCATCTCCAGTCCAAATTTTGGGACTACTTATGCAACTTGTAGCAGTTTCCTCTTCTTAGCCCGTCTGGTGTTTCCAACACTTGTGTAGTAACTGGTTGCTTCAGTAGCGTGCGTTACAGGGAACTTATGAAATCCATGGCTTTTGATTTTTGGAATAGTATTTATCTTCAGTAATACTTCAAAATGTAATATTTCTGTCAGTGATTTGAAATATCTGGAATATTAGATTTTCCCCTGTGTGTGTGCTAACTTCTTCATACCTGCATGCAGGTTAAGCCCATTAATGTGATCCAGTGTCTTTTTTCACCTTCTTTGCTTCTGTAAGAGCAGTTTGAATGGTTTCTTGCCTCAGGCTAATAACATTTAATGTTATTAACTTTAATAATATTATAATAGTAATAGAAGGATCAGTTACAAAGTATTCACAGGATTGTTGCTGGCTTGCACAGAATGCATGGGAACTGTAGGTGTTATTTCAGACAAGTATTGGTTTTGGTCATCATATTTTATGAGTAAAGTGTTATCATCCCTGAAGAAATTGGAATTTGAGATAAGTTTATATGAACTTGCTGATTTCTGTAATGGGGAATGACATTGATTTTTAAAAAAAATTGCAGCTCTAGATTCAAAGCCTGGTTTTAATGGGGCATGTATTACACTGTAAATGTTAATTCAGCTAAAAAATAAAAAGAGTTAATTCAGCTTTCAAACTGAGTTTAGTCTGTTCTCTTTATCCCATTGAATAAGTCCATTTTCCCCATATTCTGTGCCTCTGCCATCTCACATAGTTCTTTACACAGCTGGAATTTATTCCTCTGAATAAATAGGCCAGAATAATAGATCTTCACCTGATTCTAACACCCAGAAGAAGAGAGTTTAAACTTATTCAAAGTATGGGGGGGAAAAAAGGAAAGTAATAGAAAGCTTGAAAACCGTGCAAGTGTTTGACATCACGGGGGTGTGGTACGTGGATTTGTGCTATATTCAGTTTTGAAGTACATGTGGATGGTTCCATCTCTGTATTTGGAGTTGCCTGTCACTGTCCTCAGAAACAATAGTCTTCACCTTTGTATAGTTCTGTTGGCAAAACTTTTTGATTTGAAGTTCCTTATGCAGGGTATATTTGTAGACAATCTGTGTTTTGGGTGAGTTTGGCGAGTATTTGAAAGGTGTCTCACAGTCTGATTTCTAGGAAAGATCTGATCTGTTTTGTTTGTCCATGTATGCCTGTGTTTTACTGGCAAAAACAATCCAGTGCACTGGAACAGGGACTTTAGAATTTGATTGTGTCTTCTCTGTGAAGGATAAATCTTTTACTTCTGTTGTGATAAATCCTCATGAGATGTAGGTCTATAGAGTCTGAGGTTAGGTGGGAAGAATCCAGGCTTTTGTACATCTTTCTCATAGGAAATAAATTGAGACTGGTAGGGAGCTCCCAGCACAATGTTTTCTGTCATTGTAGGCACCAGTCAGGTCTTCTGCCTTTTTGGTTTTGATATTAAGAACACATAGGGAATTTTTTAAGCCATTTTTTCTGATATGCAGGCAGTTCAGTAATCTCATTGCTCTAGTTAAAGACCTTTTTAAAAAAATTATTTGTAACACAAGTGAGGTATCACTGGGAAATCTGTCAAACTCTGTGTCAGTCTGGCACGTTTTAAGCATAACTTTCTGGAGAGCAAAAATCTTGGGAGAGGTGAAATAAGATTTTTATCTTACTTCAAAAGAAGTGAGTTAAGAATGAGTTAATTAAAAAAAAAATTCTGAAGGATGTACGTTTTGTGTTCTTCCAAGTTTCTGTGAATTAGATCAGACTTCAGCAGTTGCCTAACTTTTTTATTTTTATAATTTTTTTTTCTTCCCCCATAGATTCTGGTTCTTTAAATTTGCAACAGCCCTTGCAATTAGCGTTGGAGCTTTCTTCATACCGGAGGGACCATTTACAACTGGTAAGGGAATATCATCTTCCGCTGTATCATGGCAGTCATAGCTTAGGTTTAAAAGTGCATGCTGATGTCTTTTACAGTTTTAGCTACAACTGTGTAGCTGTAACACTTTTCTGTGTTTAGAGGCATTAAGACAATGAGGTAAATTATCTGCGGTCCTGAACTGATTTTTTTCCATTCTCTTTCAGTGTGGTTTTACGTAGGTATGGCTGGAGCCTTCTGCTTCATTCTTATTCAGCTGGTCTTGCTTATTGACTTTGCCCATTCCTGGAATGAATCTTGGGTTGAGAAAATGGAGGAAGGAAACTCAAGGTGCTGGTACGCAGGTAAAGGACCATTAATGCAACGAAGTTTTGGATTTAATTGTCTATTATGTTAAATAAGTTATTTGCTGAGTGATGCATTTTACCAGAGTGCAGAAGGGCTGCTTCCTGCCTCAAGTATCGCTTTCTCTGCTGGTGTAGCTCAGCTCCACTGTCCTGCCGTCCTCTTGATGTCAAGTTAAATAAGAGTGGGGGCAGGGAGAGAGGCAGCAGCAGCCTCTGAGTAATAAGATTTTATCTCTGGGAGCAGAGCATGAGTTTGTCACAGCACAGAAGTGTCCATTGTAGGTTTTGTTTGGGGTTTGGATTTTTTTCAGCCACAGGTTTTATTACACCTTAGTGCTGTTTAAAAACAAACTAGCCTTTTCCTACTTTATGTTGAGCATAAGCATCTCAAATTTTTTTTTTCTTTCTATCTGTTGGTTGATTGTTCTTCAAAGGTCTATGCTGAGTGAAAGGTCAAGGTAGTGCAGATCATCTCACTGGAGAAATTCTATGTTAATTTTAGTAAAGTGTTCCAGATGTGATAATTTGGATGTTTCAAAAGACAGCACAGCCTGTCTTCATTCAATGGTCACCTCACTCTTTAATGTTTTTAAGAAGATGGAATTTGGAAATAAGATTTTGCTTTTGCTTCTGTTAGAGAAGTAGTTTTTCAGTTTCTTTTTTAAGCTTTTTGCCAAATTGTGTGTTGTATAACTGTGTTCCTTCATATTCACTGTTAAAGCACTGGAGAATCAAGTGTGGATTCAGGCTTCCCATTTATTGTGTTCTTTTTAACATTTTTGAGTATTAAGAGGAACTTGTTTCCTTTACATTTAAGTGCCCAGAGCTGCTCTCTAATTGTTATCGTATACCATGTCCAAAACCTGATAATCATGCAGTATTATTTAAATTTTAATACTCTTAATTATTAACCAGTTTAACTCTGTTTCTGTCTCTTCACAGCTCTGCTGTCAGCTACAGCTGTCAATTACCTGCTGTCTCTGGTAGCTATTGTCTTGTTTTATGTTTATTACACTCACCCAGAAGGTTGTTCTGAAAACAAGACATTCATCAGTGTTAATATGCTGCTGTGTATTGGTGCTTCTGTAATGTCAATTCTGCCGAAGATACAGGTATAGTTTTAATTCTGTTACCTTTTAGTTTTTAGGGGTTTTTTTTGGTGTGTTATCAGTCCCAGAAACCTGTAATATAATTGTGCCAAGGACTTCTAATTGCCTAACTTTGCTCTTTCGTTACTACTTCACATAGGAATCTCAGCCAAGGTCTGGTTTGCTGCAGTCTTCTGTGATCACAATTTATACCATGTATTTGACTTGGTCAGCTATGACCAATGAACCAGGTGAGTGTAGTAACAATATGTGGCTTTTGGGGTCACCAGTTCAGCAGTAAATTGTATCGTCACCTTTTTTCAAGGTGATATTAGAATGGAGATACTATAATTACACACAAGTTAAAGGCAGGACTCGTTAGGTTGTGTTCTCTCTCCCCACCCCAGCTTTCTGTAAGAAATAGTTATTCCAAAGATACACGGCTTTCACTTGCTCTTATGTTTATCATATGGAAGAATTTCTACCTATTATTGGCAGGATTGCAGTATTCTAAAGCTTAGATTTTTCTGATTGCCACAGCTCTTCCAAAATGTCTGGAAGGTCCATCTCCCTACCAAGTTTCAAGTTTCTTACCTGGTGACTGAGATGCTGAACTGAGGATTTAGAAAGATGTATTAATACATGTTTTCAGTATTTCTTGTGTCTGAAAACAGCTGACCATCTCTTAAAAATAAAAATAAGAAAAAAAGCCCAGAAATTCTGGTGATTAAAATAAACTGCCAAATAATGATTTTGGGATTTTTAATTGGGTATCTGGCCCTTTTATCTTAATTATGGACAATCTCCTGTGCTTCTGTCTAGCAGCATACATATGAGTTATATCTATTTCCTGTGGTGTAATTATGGAGAAATAAGATTGTCTGCTACTTTAAGCTGTTTCTTCTGTGTTGTCTGTGAGTTGGCAACTGTTGATAATACAAAACTGACTTTGTAGCGTTCTTTTCCAACTCTGAGGTGACTCTGGCACCCCAGCTATAAGGCATATTTTTGTCAAACTTGTTTTCTAGCAGTGGAATTTTTAAAGCTTAATATGCAGAGCATTTTTATTTTGTTGCATCTAATTATATGAGCTGGAACAGTAAAGCAGTTGATGCATATCTTACATAAGTTTAAAATCCTTTTATCTGCTCCAAGAGGCAGATTTCTATGCTGCACACTGTCATTCGCCTGCTTTAGAAAGACTCAATAGGCTAAAATTAGATTGAAAGCTTTTTTTACTTCAGGACTGGCACAGTCACAAAGTTCTTTTCTATTACTATGCATTCAGTGTGGAAATGTACTATTAAATATTTATTCTGTTCTTTTATATATGTTCAAATGTAATTTCCCCCGCAGATCGACGCTGTAACCCAAGCTTGCTGAGCATCATTGGTTACAACAGCACCACCATTCCCAGCCAAGGTCAGGTAGTTCAGTGGTGGGATGCCCAAGGAATTGTAGGACTGGTTTTGTTTTTGCTGTGTGTTCTCTATTCAAGGTAAGATTATTGAAAAAAAAAAATAAATTTAAAAATATTCCTACTAACTTGTATTACTTCTCACTCTCAGCTACTAAATTCTACTTATTTGGGTAACCGTACCGTACTTTCCTGTCAAATGCAGCATCCGAACATCCAACAACAGCCAAGTGAACAAACTGATGCTGACCAGTGATGAATCGACGCTGATAGAGGATGGAATGCCCAGGAGCGATGGCTCCCTTGACGATGGAGATGACATTCACCGAGCCGTAGATAATGAGAGGGATGGGGTTACTTACAGTTACTCCTTCTTTCATTTCATGCTTTTCCTGGCATCGCTGTATATCATGATGACACTTACCAACTGGTACAGGTATTTATGTTTGATAATATATTACGCTAATAGTAAGTGTACAAGATGCTACCTTTTGCTGGACAGGGCAGTGTAATTCGTGTGCTGTGAGGAATGAGATTCTTGAATGAGGCTTCTCAAGGGAAGTGTACTGCTTGATCTATATTAAATGAGTTGTAATTGGAAACTGGAGTAGCCGGCCTTGTTCACAAGTACCTATCATATTTTCTAGGATAATCCTAATGGTTCAATGGCCTGGTGAAATATGTCCTGC